ACTCATGGAGGAAGTCGGCGAAATCGCGTGTTTTTATGCATGATGTTCAGTTTACGGTTTTTGGATTTATTTGACGTCCTGAAGGAAATACATTGAAAAGGAAACCGTGCTATTTTTGGAAGGCAGCAAGTGACTCAGGCCGGAGCTTTGCGCTAGCAAGCGGCCTTTTGTGACAGTCTTAGATACAGGATACGACTCCAGTGGGGATTCTTACCTATCGCGTGAGCTTCTACACAACAACAACGAAAACACCGCTGAGGCTCCTCCGCAAAGGTGCCGCCTCGGCAAGCAGTTGACTCGACATCACAGGCCTTTCTGATGATGCTCCGATGGCACCATCGCTACATCAGGATGCACTGAAGCTGCAAAAGACATCAGGAGGAGCGGCTGCAATCAACGGACGGGTCGAAGCGCCCGACGTTATCGGCGAAGGGTGCGAAGAGCCTCGGGCGTCGGCCGTGAGGCGACAGAATGACGTGGCGAAGAGAGGGCATCGAGCCGGCTTTGTTGGCCATTGACCCTCGCCCTGGCAGGGGGGGGGGGTCGATGCGACCCCCCCCTAAGGTTTTTCGAAGATAGCGTAAAAACGGCGGCGCGCAGCGCCGCCAAATTTGGCACAGCCTATGGGGCAACCTTTTTACATATGACCTGAAAATTTCAGGTCCGGGTGACCTTGGGTCAGGTCACCAGGTCAGAAAAACCGGTACAAGGTCATGGTCAAATTTCAATTTTCTTTTTGCACCTGTCCAACTCACAGTTTTTGACTGATTTCCTTCCAACTTTCAGGATGTGCTAAGTTCACCGAGTTGTATAACATATAGTTCGGTTTTTTTGAGGTCACTGACCTGAGGTCAGTTAGAGGTCATTACGTCGTAATGTTAAGCCTATGGGAAAATACTAAATTCGGAAAATACTGGAGATATCTGCTTCGTTCTATCACTTTTGTGCTTTGAAACCACAGTACTTAACAGCAGGTCACTTGGTGCTTCTTTGTTTGGTGTACTTTCCATGGGTCAGGTCAAACGAGGTCAACTGAGGTCAAATGACGTTTTTGCCAATAACTTGGCACATAATGACGCTAGAGCTTAAAAATTGGTATCATTGTGTTCCTGGTGATCAGCCGAATCGAATGATATGCGATATGATGCAATTTGGTTAACTTGAACTTAATTTATTAACTTAAGTTTGCTTAAAATTTAAGAAAAACTTTAAGTACACTTAAGCAAGCTTAAAAGTATATCATTCGACGCGCCTTGACGTGCTGAGTTCACTGGTGCTTTTCTTTTTGCTCTATCTTAAATAGATCAAAAGTTAGAAGCGAAAAACTTTTGACCTGTTTTTAGCGAAATTTTTACATTTATACCCCCAAAACCCCCCTAAATATTGACCTAGAGCAACCAAATTTGCACAGGGGCGAGAACTCCCGGGGGCCCACCTACCTACCAAATTTGGTGTTTCTAGGTGCCATAGGAGCCAATCGCGAGGGGGGGGGGTCGCATCGACCCCCCCCCCCCTGCCAGGCCGTGTTATGAAAAATGCCCTGCCAGGGCGAGGGTTGATATAGCTCCAGATACCAGCACTGCCGGGGGCGGCTCATCGTTACGCTGCAGGTCGGGAAGTGCGGAGCATGATGCGTAAAATGAGAAGACACCGGGAGCAGGTCGGCCGGAAACCGCGTGGAGTGTGCGACAGGAATCAGAGGTGCTCTCAAGAACCGGTTCCCACGGGATAGATACGATACCACTTATCAGCACCGATATCGGTCATTCTTTCGTTTTGAATTTTCGAGTCGCTTATAAGACTTGCGTTCCCAGGCAGGATTTGTAAATATCTTGTTGGCTCATGATATCGGGAAGGCACATTCCAAACCACAGGTGCTTAAATTAACCGCAGTGAGCGACCACAAATCGTTTCACCAGATCATTAGTTGAGGTGGTACACGTCAGCAGCGCAAACCAGCCAGGTGCCTAGGCCGTTTTTCCTTCCGCTGTTGGATACAAATAGAGGCTTGCTAAAGCACATGTCGGCGAAGGCAGTCAACTACAACAGGGAAAAAGTAAACAGATAACATCTGAAAGTCACGGTAAAAACGCGTCTAATACCGCCATCCGCATGGCGGAATGTCTTTATCCATCATGAGATGACATCAAAGTCGTGCCGACTACATAATGTCACTCGGACACGTAATGCCCACGTGACACATAACGTTCGTGTGACACCATCACGAGTGAGATCATGTCTATCAGCGCACCGAAAGCCTGCAACAGGCTGAATGACAAAGCACATGAGCTGCACATGGATACAGAAAGGCTTCAATGAGTGCAGATGAGGATATGTAATGCAAGCAGTGCACGCTTGGCTTCACTTTGACCGCAATGAGAAGTCGTACAGTTTTCTCCAGTCTAGGGCTCAGGCAGGTCCGTCAGCGTCGCCGTCTCCAGCAGGAGTCCGACAGGCGGCCTGTTTTTCTGCCCTTTCAGTGCAGGACAAAACGTGGCCATCGCTTGCAATCAATTCGTCGCCTCCAGTCGTCTGGAAATTGACTGCGGGACTCGCGCTGGACGACCCGGGTCGAATACCAAATCGAAGCCACCGAACAGTTTTTGCCGCCTGCTCATTGTGTCTGGCCGAGCGGGAATGCGCCGAGCGAAGGACGGAGAAGGAACGGAGCAAAAAGCCAGCTGTCGCCTCCGCTTCGTCAATGTGCACTGTGCACAGGTCGGTGTGCAAACACGGTACGCACAGACACGCAACTGTGCGGCAGACCAAGCGAGCTCCGGATAGACCAGGTGACGTCCAACGGCGACCAGTCGCACCAGGACCCGCTGAATAACGCAGGTCGGAACCGGTCACCGCTTAACCGTCCGGTCGCCGGCACTGAGCCCAGCAGTTTGATGATGTTCGCTGATGTTCGTCCTACCCGTTTTCCTCGCCGTTACTGCAGTCTTCCCCTTGAACCTGGTCTGTTCCCTACACGTGAGCGGTAACTGCGCCGGTATAGATGTTGGCAGTGCGCGGGTGTCACGGTCCGCTGCACCCACCAGCCGCACCTGGACGTCACGCTCACTGCACGCGTGAGGTGGGATCAGAACTGAGCGGACACGTGACGGACAGCGATCGCCTCCACCTCCGCCTCCGCTGGCTGCCGCAGCGCGGTGGCTCCAGCAGCCGTCCCAGCCGGGCGTGGTCGAGCACGGCCCTCTCGGCGCCGCAGGGTGTACGGCAGGCCGGCCGTGACGCTCCAGCGGCCGTGCCGACGCTGTCATCGCTTCATCGGTCGGCTGCAAGCTGAGCCCGGCGGCGGGGCGACACGGCGCCTGCAGCTCGTCAGGAGAGCGGTCGACCGGCCGACCGACACGGCCGGGCCGCTGCAGCCGGCGGAGACACGACGCCCACGGCGGGGGTCGGACGGCAACAGCACAGCAGCCACAGAAGCCAAACAGCCCGCGGCGCGGTGGCCGGCTTCCAGGCAGCAGCACCGGCGGCAGGCATGAGGGAGTTGAAAAGTGGCATGCAAAACTGAGCTCATCGTCGCAGGCTCGTGACCGCGGGGCTTCAAAGAGGTGGTGTTTATTTTCGTGTACGGCTTCATCGGTAGCATCGGAATACTTTCGCTCCTTATGGGTGCGTTGGTGAAGCGGTAGATGTGTGAACTCGGCTAAGCTCTAAGTTACACAAACTACCGTTGGCCATCACATTCCTCACCGTCCGAACCATTCCGTTGCTACACACTGTGCAAAGAATAACAAACCTTTCCCAACGCCACAGGGGCGTGCAATTAGCCTAACTAAGCGCGTTGTCTGAGGATCGTCAGACTCGGTGACAGGCCACCCGCTGGCCGAGAGTCCGCTCAGCGTTATCAGCGCCTCGTGAGCGCGCATTAGTGCAGAAGACACCCCGCAAGTGCCGCACCGGTCAGCGCCGAATGATGACGGCGTCGGCGTATAAATATACTCGCCAACCGGGCCCTGCTCCGCGGGCGGCGCAGGGTCGGAGCTTTTTGCGACGCCATATTTAACCGTCCCAGGGGGTGCTGTGGGGGATTTATTTGAACCGGGACACAATACCCTGCATGATACGTGTGCTGTTTACAAGGGTGGAGTGTGTTGCTCTTCAAATCGGCGCGACATCACGACGCCGGTGGTCTGAGGTGGCCGGCGCTGTACGACACGGTCACTCTCTAAATGCCATAGCATAGCGGAGCTCGGATGGGGTTACGAAATAAGTGCCGGTAAATTCGTTCCAAACAATACTTGCTCGCAACAGCCCAAAGCAGGGGCAACGAGCGCCAAAATTCCTTCTCGACTCAGAGCTCAAAAATATTTTTCAATGTCTCGATGCATGCAGTGCCACTGTGCAACTCATACCAAAGTTACAAACCTGAATCCCAGAATAGTGAAAACTCATCCTCAGTTTGTCTTTCCCGAAGTTTTCAGACTCGCTGCGCGACTAGTTTGATCAATACCAGAAAACACCGCCAAACCACGAACATCCCATTTTCCCGGTTCGTCGGACTCGCTCAGTCCCTGCGCCCCCAGCGCACCGTACATTCTGCCCGCTCTCTCGGTCTGTCTGGGCTCGGTATAGCGGCCTGCCACCCGCTGAGCGGACGCTGCGGGTCCACCGCGGCGGCGCCGCGCGTGCAGACTGTTTGCACACATCGGTCACGGTTGCCGGCGTGCGCGACAGCCCCGGGTGCGTGCGTGCCTCGACTGCGCCGGCTGGTGAGGAGAAGCGGCCAGCCTGGCACCAAGATGGAATCCAACCGCTCTGGTGTGGAAGATACGAACGAGGGAAGGCTGCTTCATAATGCGTTAATGTTTATGGCAAAATAAGTGTTGACATATCGAGAAAGTGGAATTAACTAGTTCAGAGGGATGCCCTGCTTTCCTTACAGGATTGAACACCACACTTTCTTTACCTTTAGTCCAAATTCCTGTCCTTTCTGAATCGCAGACTCATTGCTTTTAGACTTCCGGTTTCGTGACCCCTGAACTGACCTGAGATGAATGAGACCTCGCTGACCAGGATCCACTGCGCTGCAAACAGCAGCTCCACTTTAAGGAAGCGGACCGCCATCGGAGGCAGTTTGACGGACACGTTGCGCGCGCCATCCAGCCCTCCACCCAGTGTGTAGTGGAGCACGGGCTCGGTGTTGTAGTAGCGACCTCCGATAGAGCCGGTCACGATAGCCTGGGAGAACACCTGAGCACGGACCAGGAAACACGAGAGTTAAATGCATGCTCTGGAAAGAATTACGGGAGTTTATAAAAATGCAAGGAAATGAAGATATTTGTTTCGCGTGAAATGCACGGAGATAATTGACAATTCACATTAATGATATCCCGTATCAGTTGACATTTTCCCGATATTTCCACTGCAACCCCAACTGTTAATGAAGCAAGGCATATCACATACCTCAATTTCTTCTCGTCTGTTGTTATTTGTATGTATGATCACTTCGGAGAAATTTCTGACTTCGCTGAACTCGAACGTCATCTCCAGTGAGCCGTCCGTTGAAGTGTTCCGCCATCCGACCCACTCGAATCCTGAAAAGGCAAAAAGGCACCGTCAATCAGCGAAACCCAGCGTCAGCTCTGAGTGCCACTCGGACGGTCCCACTGCGCACAAATCAAATCGGCGCATCAAAGTGAGCATAAATGCAGGCAATATTGGCCACACAACGCTACGAGTCTGGATATTCCCCACCCAAACGACTGGCGCTTCGCCGAAAAGGATGCAACCGACTGGCGCCGAGGAAGCGTCATATCAGATTTTACATCACATCAGCCAGATGTTACTGGTCCCGTATCCGACACCCTGGATGGGATGCTTCCCTTGTCAAAAGCTCTAACTTGGAGCCAGACACCCGGCAGTGTTTTCGCACATCGCGGGACACCTCGGAGCTGTCGGTGTCACAGAGAGCTGTCGCCTATCACTTGTTTCCTCACCTCACCTCACCCCCGTCCAGCCACGTGCGTCTCTCACCCCCGTCCAGCCACCCTGCAGTGGGCCCGACACTCGCCGGGGTCAGTCGACGACCTCCCGCGGCGACCGGCGCCGACCGTGCCAGGTCACCCGTCAGTGCCCCGCGGCGATAGGAGCCAGGCCAGCTCGGTGGTCCTCGAGACCAGCAGACCAGCAGACCACGCGGACCACTGATCTGCACCGCGTTGCGGCGGGGAGCGCCGGCGGCTGACATTGGCAGGCTATTTTCCTGGTGGTATGGGAGCCAGGCGGCGCGGCACGGCGCGTCCCCGAGGGAGTAGGCGCGCGAGGAGACCCAGCTGGGCCAGGGACGCGGCGATCGACCAGCCGCAAACATTGGCTATATGTGGCACGGGGCCACACAGGCGGTATGTACTGGTGACCAGCTTCGGCAATGTCCACAGCAGACGAGAAAGGGTTTCCGCATGAGAGCAAATAGTATACTGGTAAGGATATCGGGATGCGCTGAGAGGAGCGCGGAAATAGACAGAGAAAGAAAGGCCGACGCTGAGCAGAGCTGGAACAGCCTTAGCCCGTGGTGTAAGGGGCTGCCAGCTCGGCGTCCTCGGCCGCTCCGATATCGACGCTCGTCAGTCGATGTGCCATTCTGCGCGGCTCTAAACTGTCGCCGGCCGCGGCCTTTTGAAGGCTGACTCAGCGCGCGTCGTCGTCTTGGACCCAGCTGTCCCCGGCAGCTGTCCACGTCACCGGCGGATCCTATTATCCGCCAGCCGAACGCAGCCGTGCTCGCATAGCCGATCAAAGTAATTAATTCAAAATAGCGAGCCCAATCTGGCCATCACCGCTGGAGCGCTGGTAAACGGTATGACAGCTCGGCAGGCGCTCTGGACGGCGCAAAAACGGCGCGCCGCTCGTCAAAGGCGGCTTATCTGGCGCGGCGTCGACAGTCTGCCTTTGTGCCGTTTGCAGCGGGGGTGAGCGGCGCCCTGGAGTTGGGATGGAGGGCCAGGGGAGCAGCTGCCCCCCCCCCCCCCCGGACACTGAGTCTGCCTCACAGGAGAGAGATGGGAGAGACGAGACTGGCTCGGGAAAGCAGCCGAGTGAATATTGATCTTAGATAAGATAAGAACAGCGGAGGGTGCACGACGCTCAAACATGAAAAAAGTTTGTTGACGGACATGAGATTATTTAAATTGTAAGGAAAGATATTTTGAGGTATGCTAAACGAGTGAGGTCGCTAACTACGAGTATGCAACATGCAAAGAAGACGTGTAACAGCAGTTGATGAGATTGGGTTGTCATTGTGTTGTACTTACCAGCACTTTGTGGAAGTAATGGTTGGAATGAATCTTACATTAAGTAAAACATAATTTAGTAGTACATCATATGAAATGGAATGATACTGAAGTAAAATACCTTCTTGTTAGCGAACGGGAAACAGGAACGGAACGGAAAAGCCAAAATTGTCTAAAAGGGGTGGTTCACTATGAGACGACATTCAGAAGACGGGAATAATGCCGGAAGATGTCCTCTGGGCCAGTGGACATTTCCCAGAAAACGCTGACTGGACCGGCACCGGACACCGAGGCGCGGCCTGGCAGTTTTCTGCACTGTTTGTCCGAACCATTTCTCTGAAATGCAAAATGCTCCAGAGCTCTGGCACTGCCGAGCGATGTGATATGCTGAATGGCCATTTCCTCTAGGAGCCTTTCCGACGCAAATTGAAATTAAATCCTTCTGCTTGTGACGTTCGCCGGAACCGTTACAAACAGCTCTGTGTAAATTAGCTGGCGAGGCGATAAACATGCAGCTGGCTGGCGCTCCGGCGCAGGTAAGCGTTGGTGATGGTGACGGCCGGTGCTATATCGCAGCCGGTCTCGATGCGGATGGCGATAGACCGATTTAGCACGTCGATTCAAGAACGATAGTGTGCTAGCTCCGCTGGTACGCGTTAGGTATACCAATTAAGCGGTACTCTACTGTGCACGGGCCTGTATCCAGAATGAACGGTCTGCTGAGAGTCATTTCTTCGCAAGGTGGAACGTCTTACTGAAATTCCTCCTGCGACTGTCGGCCAGCGGTATAATGGGATAGAAAGTATATTAGAACGGAAAGGGACTGATAAGTGCTGGCTTTTCAGAAGTGGCTTTTCACGCATTGCAGGCTCCAATAAAGATTCAGTACTGAAAAAAACTATTAAAGAAACATCAGGTCACAGTTGTTTTACCAAGCCCATTTATCACCTTTCCTCACAAAATATTCGCAGCTTGTGTCTCCAACTTTGGTCATCACCGCCCTACGCCCCGCGCTCTCGTCCATAAACCATCACCCCTGGAGGCTGAGCCAAGGCTCGCTGCAGCCGCTTGTTTCCTGTCTGGCTCCGACACTCAAAGTCGAGCTTGTGTCACGTGCCCTGGGCGGGGGCGTGTCCAGGCGGAACGGGAACACGGCAGGGGCGGGGGGGGGGGGTCACCAGCGTTTGAGCGCTAGCGTCGCAGGTCCTGTTGGGCACGACCGTCTCGCGGTGCTCATCGGTATAAGCCCCCGCATTCTGCGGTAACGGCGAGAAGGTTAAAAAGGGGAATCAGCCAAGAGTTACGAGAGAGATTTGCTTTCGGTTGCAAATACGCCTGCGCTTTCGGTGAATATCTAAGCGGATATCTGGAGAAGTTGTACAGAGAGGTTAAGTAGACAAGGCAATAGGATTATTTCCGTAAGGAGTTGAAAGAGCTCCCGAACTTGCTACTTACCCAAAATAACAAGGAAATCACAGAATATCATACAGTTATAAACCAAGCGACATAAGATATTGCTGAATAATTCCTGTTTCAAAGTTGGACCACACAACATCACACTTAACGACGCCAGTCACATGCAGACTGTCCACAGTCTCCTCTATTTGCGGCCAGTGTACGACGGCTGTCCCCATTCCTTCAGGTCGGACAAACGCCTCTGTCATCCATCCGTAATTGGCCATCAGTCATAATTGTCCGCGGTCTGGGGCGTTTGCCGCGGGGGTGCACGGGTGTGTGTGTGGGGGGGGGGAGGGGGGGTCACCGCCTCCCCGGTCAGCTGATTGTGTCGTCGGTGCCAATATCGTCCGAGGCGTATCGGGGCCGGCATCCAATCAGAGCGACGCACTCGATTACGCAGACACCGCGAGGCGCGAGTGCCGCGGCGCCTCCTCGGGCATACAGAGGCCGCTCCTCGACACCCTCCACCCTCCTCGACACCCCCTCCCCCGCAATAACGACCCGGCAGCCACCCATCGCTGTGCAATTGTGCATCGCCCCCGGGTCGCAAAAATCCCGACTGGACAGACCGACACTATACCGTACACGTTTACCGTCGCGCCGAACAGCCCTCGGCCAAAACGACACGGTGTGTGTTGGGCTGCTTTACTGCAGCGTCCTGCGTCTGTGTCAGAGGCAGCGAGGAAAAGCAACCAGGTGGGAGGATTTACCGCAGTGCCCACTGTCAGGCCCGCCAGCAAACGTACGATGGAGCTGTCACGGTCGATAGCCCACCGCTGGGCACTTGTGCGCCAATGACATGGCATGACACATATGGGGCATGGGAGTATATGAAATTATTAGGCCGGCCTCAAAAGTGGAGGGGCGGCGTGCATACCGTAGGGAAAGGCCCTAACACTGTAATAGTCCCGCATAACAATGGCCGCAAGGGGCCATTTGTATATATTATGCATGTGGAAAGTAGCTGATGGGATAGTGCGAGTGACTTGACCGATATCCGTCATCGCATTCGCATGGAATAACAATGCATGGAATAGTGCCGTACCGAAAATGGAACTATGTTCTTTATGACTCGTTTATGGTGTCCGGTACGCACACACAGTAAGAATAGTCCAGCAAGCCGTACAGTTAGCCATAGTTGTGCTGATTTTGCGAAAGCGTATACACACCGTCGATAAATAATTTGGTAAAAACGGGTCGTGATAAATGTTTACAAACACGACGTCGCTGTAGTGTCATGTTTGTTTTCGTCGTCGACAGCGTTCACTCGCACACCATTGGCCTTGGTTGGATCGGTGAGGCGTAAACAATTACGGCTGGCGAGCTGCAAGCCCGGGGACGCAGAGAATCCGGGGGAACACTGACGTGTTTGCGCACGAGCCGGGAAATGCTGACAGGATTTCTGCGAGGGATAAAAGGAGATTTTACCAGCTTAACGGACAGCCTAGGCAGATTATGCAAGCTTCCGCGTTGAATGGCGCCGTGGGTGGTAAATCGTGGGACATCTCTGAGCAGACAGGTTGCAGAGATGTTTGCCATCTGAAAACCACGTTCTCCGAGCAAGGTCTCACGTGACCTAGTCTGGCGGCAACCCACTTTTTCACCCTCTCTGGGCAGTCTCGGAGCCGCTCGACCACCTCGAGTGCTCTTGCTGGACTCAATTATGTGCATGCAGCCAAACGCACCGCGTCCCTCTGCCTCCTATGATCTGACAGTGTTACTCACCCCTGCCGTGTCCCAGGTTCTGTCGGAAGTTGTCGGTGCCGTAGGTCCCGTCGTTGAGCTGTCCGGTACCGCCGTACAGCTGACCCTGGCTGTGCAGTCCGTCGTACGTCTGGTCCTTCAGCTCGACGCCGGGCCAACGGCTCTGACCCTGCGGTGCCGAGTACGACACCAGGCCGTCTGGGGAGAGAGAGGACACACCGTCAGCCACACGGTGACGGCTCAGGGACGCGGAGGTGCTGGTACGGACGTCGGCAAATGTATAACAGCACCGCAACACGGTCACCATTTTTTATAACTACTTGGTCACGAGTTCATCCGCAATTGAGAAATATCAAGATAAACAAACTGGAATACCAAAACATTTCCGTCTATGGTTACATTAGATGCATGTAACATCAACATCGGGAGTTATGCTTATTTAAATCCCAACACCGTTATACGATGCTATTTTTCGGCAAGTTGGGTGGAAATTGTGTTTACCATCACCGAAAGACGTCCAACGTTCTTCATATCATATTCCTCTGCTTGAAACAACGATTTGGTTGGCTGTCAGCTAGTATCCCTATTCGGTATTTTCCGTATTCAATGACAATGCTAATGCACGAGTTGCCTACCGATGTTGTTAGAACTTAATCAATACCGCAGATCAAGTTCATCTCACCTGATAATTATGTTTACAATACACAGTTGCAATTACAGTGCCGTCATGTGATGACATGGTATCACCAAAGAGTCCTCTGAGCCGGGTGATATTAGCAAAAGTTCCACTAAATGGCCATGTGATGGGACTAGAGCGCATTTTATGCCCGATCAGCCGAACAAATGGCATGGCTCGGACCATTCAGCCCATCCAAATAACACTTATTACATAATCCAGCGTCTACGTAAGGCTCATGGAAATGGACATGGACATGACATTAGCCTCAAGATAACTGGGGAGTGTCGACATTCACCCAGTCTGGTCTTGAACAAGGACACGCCAGTGTTGCACGAAAAGGACATTAACGATAGTTTGATTTGAATAACGATCCAGAAATTGCATGACGCCACTCACGAAAATGAAGGTCTTTGTCAGATCACTTATACTTTGTCCGGCAAATATACGGCACAAAGTTCAATTATGTATGCTCGAGTGGGTAATAAAACACGACTTGCATTGTCAAAGTGCAGGAACAACCGGTGCAAGAGGCTGGTCGCCTTCGTTAATTGGGTCTATGCGAGCATTGTCGCATTGTTTGCGGGGTGCATGCTGGCACACAGGACTTGGCATTGTTGTTGATCTCATATCACGACCTGAAAAGTGTAGCCTAAGCCAGCGGAGGGCTGCCTGAATTAAAAGCAAACAATTACATTGTTCACAAACGTATACCAGTGATTTTCGTGCACGGCTTATGTTTCAATGTGTCCGGGTGAGCAGCATATAGGGGTGGTCGTTCACTTGAAAGCCAATGCCCGATAATGAAGTTGCATGAGGCATCCGCTAAAACACAATAGCACCATAGGGTCGAGCTTTTTGCTGGTACAGTTTACTTTTGGTATAATAATTTGATACATCTAACCAAACAGGCATAACCACGACATCACTCTATGCCTCGTCAGGCCAATGGACATCTTTGCATTAGCGCGTATAGAACAACAAGTGGCAATGCTGCAGCTGGTTCTAACAATGGACCTGCACCAATCCTTTTACAAAGAGAAGATTCCGATAGTTCTGGGGACCACAGGCCTCACCGTTCTAGCCAGGAACCCCAGTGAGAGGCGGGAACACGGGTCATGCCGCTCCCTCGATCGGTCATTGTCACCTGACATGGCCTCGTGTCACGGGCTGTGTCCGGTGTCAGTGTGTCACGCCGTGTGTCACGCGCCGGTGAGAGGCGGTACCCCGCAGCGAGCAGAGCACAAAAACAATACGCCTCTCGTGTCAGACAGCAGCAGCGATGCTATAATGGATTGGAATGTTTTTGCCTTTGGGTATAACTACATGAATTGCTCAACAGTTGAGTGTAGTCCATGCGCAACTAGATGTATTGTAAATGATGAGCCAATTGTCGAGCAGCAGCTTTAGACAAAAAAAAACTACCCTTACACTTCGTTACGAACTATTACAAACATCAGTCTCATTGAACAAATTAGTGACATTTTGTAAAGCACACGGTCTAACCGCATTACAATGCGCGATGCATTCATCAGCAAGGTCTTTTTTGTCTGCCGTCATGCCGACACCGGTTCATCGTACACAGACGAGCCGGTTCACCAGCAATCATCTGGTTAAGCCATCTGAGCTAATTTACCACCACAATAAATCTCCGAGGCCGGGCCGGACAGAGCCGAGTCAAATGGTCCAGCCGCCGACCTCTGCTGCCGTCACTGCAGCTGAGGGCTCCTTTTCAGACAGCTGGAACAACAGCTGATACGACCAACCCCTCCCCCTTCCCCCACTGGCACCAGAATAGAACGCCAACGCACCAGCCATTTTCTTTTTTTTATCAAAATCATCGTACTCAAATAATGCTAGGCATATACACCAACTATGAATACAGCTAAACAAGACGGATTTCAGAATCAAAAGTAAAAAACTATCGATACGCTAGCACGGCCCCCTTACCTGTTTTGTTGCAGCCGTGGATCTCTGCCCGAATGCAGACGGTGCGCGCGTAGATACTGTAGGGCAGCACACGCACTTTGGTGGCGAAAATCGGCGGCACCAGGTGCCTCTTCACGGCCAGGTAGTTGTTCTCATTGCCGGCCAGCACCTGTACACGATATGACGTCATCAGGGGGAGACAGTAAACACACAGGGCGTGGCTAATGATCCGTTTAATGAGCGGCAGATAACAGGTTCACCGTGAAACGATGGTACATTGATCACTGCTAAAGATATGTCATGTCACATTATCGCATGTATGCCTCGACATCGGAAAATGAGAGCAGCAATTAGGCAGTGAAGGTCGCAGAGTGATCAAAAGATCGTGTCAATCTGTTACTTGGGCTACCAGCGGGCAGTCATTTCATTCCTTACTTCGAATCATGTCAATAGCGTATACATAGCTTGCGTGCCAGGTGATCTTTGACGTTCAATTTCCATCCTAGTTATTCTGCACTCACTCGCCTTTTCATCATTTAGAACAAACACATTCTACGAATTGACTAACGTTTCCCATTCTCCAAGGAGTACCAGAATATGGAGCTTTAATTACCACTCCAGTCCACATCCCATGCATGTCCCACCCACAGCCCTAACTGACTAACCTGTGAACCATTCCAGGCCTTGTACGGCTTCCAGGCGGTCAGGCCGGGCCGCCAGTACTCGAGCGTGAACTGGTCGGCAAATTCTCTGCCTTGGCCGTTGCCGAAGCGACCCTGCAGGCTGACGGCGCTGATGACCCGCGGCCAGGCGAGGTTCACCTCCAGGTACTCGCGGGTGCCCTTGGTGATGTGTCGCTCCGGACACCACGCGCCGCCGTCCAGCTCCACGTTCAGTCTGAGAACGGGGTCAGGTCGGGTCAGAGTTAGGCTCAGTTTAGGGTTAAGTCAATTATGCAAAACCCGAGGCCAGAACAGCGGGACACTTTGAAAAGCCCCGGTCCAGGTATAAAGCTTGCTCAGGACATGATCAGGCATTGGTTATGGTCATTGGTCGGTATACGATATTTTGGCTCGATGAGCTCAGCATGGAGCATACCCGCATACGAGTAAGAGCCAGTTGCAGCACTAGGCAATGTGTGTTTTCCTTGGCATCACACCCAGGCATAATGATGCGTTGACCGCTGGGCATACGACACATTCAGGTTCCTAATGGCATCATAAAACGGAACTTGAGTGGCATTTCATTTGCAGAGCAGTCATTATTCAGCAGATGACTGTTTGAAAGCGACGAAGGCTTCCTGGCAGCTTGTCACCTTCTACCAAAATACAGTTTAATTAATCATAGCAGACTTTTCCGCCCTGCAAGGCGCATGAGCTATCCAATGAAATATCGCTTCGCTCTTGTTGCAAGTATCGACTTTCATAACAGACTGTCGAAGATCGGGTGGCTTTCGTGGCGCTCGCTATTATCCATTTATGGCAATTTCCTCGCTGTTTTCCTTTGTCCGATCCAATAACCGAGTGGAAGAGGGAGGGTGCGTCACAAAAGAGCGCGAAACTTCATTTCCTCTCAGCCAGTCGCTCAACAAAGCTGGGGTTCGCTTCGAGCCTCCATGGCGTCTGGATCGCCAGCTGAAATCGCAGCTTTTATATCACCAGCCAGAACCGGTCTATCGTGTATGAAATCCCAAAAGGTCGACTGACCTCAGGAGGCCGCTCAGCTGAAGGCCATGCCCGAAAAGAAACTGCATCAGCGCGCAGGCTATCCACCCATCCAGGTGCCCAAATGATCGTTTTTGGTGGCCAAATCGAGGGTGTTGCAGGGCACAAAAACGCTGCCTCGATCGCTCGCGGAGACCTCGCCAAGGATGGTGCAGCTGGGCTCTAAACCAAAAGAAAACTCTGATTGTATCAGCAGCACTCACGTCATGCTGCGTTCAAATCGCCCGCTTTCACTGTCAGGGAATCCGCGCGAGCGGTGGCGAAGAAAAACTATCAAAAGCCGCGATTTTTCGTGACGAATCGCCGTCCATTTTTACGCGTCTGCTGAGTGAGCACGCTAGGCGCCAGGCAGTCCGGTTTCGGCCGTGGGTGGATCGACAGACGACGCCAGGGTCGATAACGCTCCTCAGTCGCCCTTACCGGAACGGCCGGAAAGGAGACCCGTCAGACCGGCCCTAGCGGGGACTTATGGCGAGGTGAAATTCGAGCGGCCTGCTTAGGACACCGAGCACCTAGTGCAAATAATGCTGGAACACAATACGGAAATGTCGATGACGGCAGGACTACCAATCATTGTACGTGATCATATTAATCATGACACCGCGAAATGAAAATATAATAATTAGTTATTGTTATAGCAATGTTTAGAAGTGTCAAATGTACAAATTTGAAATTAAACATATATTCAACGGTTCATTTGTGTACCATGTAACACAATATTTCGTGATGTCATTCCATCATCAACACCTCCATATAGGGTTTGGATCTGTGACAGGTCGCGGAACCAATCGCACTGAGGTGGTGTGAGTGACAGCCAGTCCATGGCCGTGTTCCAGCGATAAACACTGACTCATCGGTCTGCCAGCCCGCCGGCCGTGGGCTGTATCCATAGACGACGAATGCGCTGAGCTCAGCTCCCTGTCAGCGCAGTGGTGGTCACGGAAGACAGCCAATCAGTGCAAACCGTATACCCGTCTGGCTCGTGTCCGTGTGCTGGGTGGCGCTGTTGCTATGGCCTTGTGTTAAGGATGCTGGACGCGAACCTTCACCGTCATTTATAATTTGTGAATGACTTCATTCCCCTAAATATATAAATCAAGTAAACCTAAATGGTATTCTAGCACCGTAAATTTAACCAATAACGCAACTTGGATCACATGAGCAAGAGCCTTACTTCAAATTTCGCATTATTACCGTGGTTTCATAAACAAAACTTATCCCATTAGTGAGCCGGCCACAGGTGGTGACTGCACCGATGCAGCCGACGGTACAAAACTCCGGCTACTTTGCTGAAACATCTGCAAATCTGTTCTCCAATTGGCGAAACGCCGCAGACCGTTTGCAGAGCCGGATCGATGACGGAATGGGTCAGACACGTCAGCGCGTTCCTCCGGCGTCATCCCACAGCTGACGGTCCCACGGGAAGAAACTCCGCGCTCCCCACGGAAATGATGACTGGCATGAACTCGTTCGCCGCTTCGTTGCCCTCTCTGCTCGCCAAAATTCCGCATTTCAAGTCCGCAAGTCGGTCGTGTGATTTTGACTGAAGGGAGTACAATATAGTCCCTGGCCCTGGCCTATTTTTGTCACCTATTTCCTCAGAGTTTGCGCAGGGACGCTCTGATATGGATGCTCATTGCAACGATTAACTGATATTGCCTTTGGCAAGTGCACACTGCACATCAGTTAGGTAAATCACGTGGTTTGAGGTACAGCGTTCTCATGTCTCTTTTATTCTGGATGTCCCGTGTGAAAGAGTGCAAAAAGCCATAACAAAGCTGGTGCTGCCTCGGCCGAGTGGCACAGTGATGCACTGCGCGAAGTAGCTTCTGCTGTGTCAGAACCTGAGTCGCCCTGTTGCGCACAACATTTTTCGGCAAAGTTGAGCCCATGCTGCCACACCTTGTGCAGCGGCTCACTAAAGTGACATGATGAGTCATGACACTGTACGTATTCATGCACCCGGCCACCAGCCAGAGATAGACTCTGAAGTCTGAAGGGTCACTTAGAAAAAAGAACTCTCCATTTAGGATTCGGAGGGAGACTCAAGCAAAACGAAAACACTGAAAGAAAATACGGCATATGGCAATGAAGAGCAAAGGCTCCTAAGTAGAATTGAATGGAAGCTGCGTCTCACAATCTTATTCCGTTTCCGTTTCAGGAAATATGCAATAAACAAGCTTAGCATATTCATATTGTTGGCAGCTATCAAGATCATCGCTAGGAACAGCGCGCCAAAACGGGGAGGCTGTCATGTCTGCTGAAGCAATGTCAGGCCCAGTCATCACAGCATGTAATATTCATTGGAATATGCAGCATTTAATCTAATTTATACAACTATATATTCAATTATAGTTCCACTGAAATAGCGCAGTAGCATGGACATCCTAAGTGGCAGGACGTTAGCAACGTTTCCGTCTAGTTATAACATGCATTTTGTTACGAGTATCTGAATTTATATAGCAAGACGCATGGTTATGGACAGACTAATATAAATAAAATTGCTGAATATCTTCGACGGGTCATGTGCATCGGGGAGTCAAGATTCATGGTATGTCAGTCAGTTAGTTATGACGTCATTATGACGTCAAACAGCTGGACTACTTACCGGGCTTGCTTGGCGCCGACGCGGGCCGGGTCGTGTGATGACGTCACGGTGATGGCCGAGTCCGGAATTTCGCCGGATTGCATTCCGAGCGCCGCATCACACTCCCCTGCGGACAAATGGGGTAGTGTCATTTTCATGAAGATCATAGGACGCACGACGTAGAGTATGCATGAAAATGATGGTAACATTAAGCATGATTCTTTCTGTATATTTAGATACCTATGAATCGTTACAGAATGAAACCCACTTCCATTCGAAACAAAAAAGCTACAATAGTCATGCCCCACTATGCCTACTCAATCTAGCACGAAACATGGGCGGTGCCGCAGTACTAGTCGGCATACCACAATTCCTCGCCTGATTGACTCTCTGACCGCGTGATTGAGTGGTTTCCCGCCATAAGGATACGCGATCTCACAGCCCTCAACTCGAGATAATCGCTGGATTCATATAGCCATCCTTTTTATCGTGCTCGCTTGCACAGCGTGACGCCCTCAGAGACAATGCAAACAGGGTCGTTATACAATTATCCACTTTACGCCAGATTGGCGCCGTTTTATGCCCGCGGCCTGAGAAGTGAGTGAATAATGTGAATCACTCGCGCGGCGTGGCACTCGCCACCTCGCGGCCATAAATTCAGCAAACAGCCAACAGCGAACGCCGGCCTCCAAACGCCGTATCACCGCCACAGACCTAACCGGGCCTAAGTGAGGCCGTCGGCCGTCCGATCCTCGGGTAATTACCCCCTGGGCTCCCAGATTACACCACTCGCAATGACGGATGAGGTGTAATACAGGAGCAGCGCCGCTCACACCTGTTCACACCGTACAGTCCGGCTCAATAGCGTCCGGCGGGCCGCGCGGTGAGGCTATCGCTGGGGACAGTCGAGTGTCCCCGACGCGCCCCTGGCCAGCGGCACGGACCAGCTCGCCAGTAATGATCCATTTCCTACCGGAGCGGCGAGCGTATCATGAGAGCCGATCAGTGCTCGTTACGGGACCGCAGCTGCTGCCATCTGTTGGCTGTGTAAAACATTGATGGAGCGGCCGCGTCGTCACCGACAGCGCGTCGACAGCGACGCGGTGACGTCATTGATAGATGTGACGTCACCGTGAAGGCAATGATATGAGTGGGGGATAATATGTCTAGGTATGGATCATAGAAAAAAGTAAAGAAAAGGAAAAAAGAAGAGAAAAGAAAAACATTGGTCAGGTAAGCTGTGATTTCATTGTAATACAGCACGGAAAGAAAGGGAATATTCTCTCAACGTTTCCAGAAATGCAAAAATAAAAAATACATCGATCGACAGAATGAAAAGCATGAACGAATAACGGCATTTGCAATGCATAATGAATAACAGGCTTTTGGTGGCGCAGATGCCATAGTCAAGATAAGGCTTTCTCTCATATGTGACCTACCCAGAATGTCAATTTAGGAGAGGTCAATTGTTAGAAACGAGTCCATTACAGAACTTCGGAGTCAAGTCATTGTCGAGTCTAACATGGGATCATCCAGGTAACTGGACCGCTACGAACGTCACCGGCCGATAATACACAGCAAGAGTAAACCGGAAGCGTCCGAGCAGAGATATCCCATCGCCGTTCCGAGTCCGTCGGCAGCGGCTGGCATACATCCAGGGACTCCGCACCTATCCGTGCGGCAGACGCGACAGCGTGTCACACGGGCGGTGCCAATATCCTCTACATCATCGGCCTGTCGGTGCGACACCACCTCCAGATCGATGGACCGCCCCGCCCCCGCCCCCGCCCCCGCCGCGGTCCGGCCGCGATACTGGGACAGGTCCCAGGGGGCGGAGGACGGACGCTGTTGTGGACACGCCATAGTGGTAACGAGAGACAATTGAGACGGTATTTACGGGTACTTGCCCCGCGCTGTGACAGTATTCAGATATTTCTCGCGAAACCAATCACAATATTGATACGACTGACACAGTGCTGCCTAAATCTTATGTTGTCTAGGAAGTATGCGAGGCATGCAGTATGCAGCAACGGTCACATACCGGAACTAGTTTTTTCAGCAGTCTCAGGCTACGCACATACAAAGTAGTAGGCATTTAGTTCGTCGTCGATACTATCAGGGCACAGAGTGCAAGAAGCAGACAATGCACTGGCATTGACAATCCGGTCCCAAACCGGTCCCCGACTCGCCAACCGTTTAAGATAATGAATCAAACACACATCGCCGTTTTCATAACATTGTCTCTAATTGACGCTGGCTATTTTGTAAGTTTAATTTGATTGACATATGAAACAATGATTCAATTGTCAGCAACATGTTTCGCTTTATATCAAAAATGACGAAGCACAATTATTTTCAAATTAGGAACAAGCAGTGCTTTTTTCAGCACCTGATTTAATTTACAGAAACCAAAGGGTTTGCTTACAACTGAACACCAAATAAGGTCAAATGGTAACCTTTCAGTGAAACCAGGTGAAATTCCGCAAAAAATACGTCACAAAATTTTGCTGACTGTCAAACCCCTATCATTTTCTCATCAAATACACTGCTAATTATCTTCCGTTCCCCATTTTAAGAGTAACTACCACGCCATAGTTGTGTGAGAAACTCTCCCAAACTGCCAAATTACCCACTGCGGAAGCGAAATGCGACCAAAGTCGGGCACGGAAGCGGTCTTACCATACGACGACACGCTTTATTTGCCTGGCATTACGCACCGCACCCCATGATCAGCAGTCCAAGCTTCCCACGGCGCCTCCCCGACAGCCGGTCGCGCCGTTTGGAGACACAAAAACGACCTCCGAGCATACCCAGCAGCGACGCGGGGCTCGGACCATCGGCGCCTGTCCGTCAGCCTGCCATCGCCTATCGCCTATCGCCCATCGCCACATCGCCATCGACGATCGCCCGTCCGCTGGGCCCGTCGCCGCCGAATGTGCCCGTCCGTCGGGGGCAGTCACGTCTGTCGACAGCTACTGCGTGACTCATTTTTAAATGGCACGCTTCCTGGTCTAAACCACATGGAGGAAGCCCGCCCAGCGGCCGTCTGCTTGCCTTAGCGTGGGATATCAGACTGTCCCGCAAAATAACGCACACAGCCGTGTGTGCTAAAGATAGAAGGATAAAAAAGAATTTGTTCGGATCGAGCCTAAAGACAAATCATTTCAGCGCCAGAGTATACTGGACAATTTGCAAAAGCAGCTCATTCTGTGATACCCCGTAGCAACTATAGGTGATGCTCACCAAGGTACGTACAGTTCAGCTCGATACAGCTCTGTCGGTGCTGTTCAGTGACGTCATTGACACTACTGATCTATCAAGACACGACCCGAGATCAGCAGCCGGACGGGCACGCCCATCTAGCGAAATTAGCATTGGCTGGGGAGGACAGCTATCAGTGGGCGGACAGTGGAGAAGACAGCTGACATTACGAGCTGTCTGTATGTCTGTTTGAGACTGTCTACTGCAATTGACAGGACCATATCCTCCCCTCCCTTGGAGGAATAGTCGCCCGACATTGAGACCGCTCCGCAAGGAGCACTGGCACCCGGAGAGGGGGAGGGCGAGCACCGGAGAGGGGAGGGCGACTCGCCGGGGCAGGGAGAGCGGAAGGCACGCGCGCGGAATCGGGAACGAGACATCGACAGGGCGGCGCGGCGGCGGTGGGCGCCGGACGGGACAGGCAGACCGTGGCCTGCCCTCCGCGAGCAGATCACAGAGGACGGAGATGGATGGCTGGACACTGGGGCAGATGACAGAGGGAATTCATCATACGGTCCAGTCGGATTATGGGCGGTGTAAAAACAGGGAACTCGCCTAGATGACAACGAATGAATGCTAGAACGATGGATGCAAAATGAATCAAAGGCATGCTCAAGTCAGAGGTGACTCGCTGCGTTGAGGAGCGCAGTCGTGCATACCAAAGCCACACGTAGGTATTTACACTCATAGGTGCCCGCCTCCATACAGATGACGCTGAAGTGCGATAGTTTCATCGGGGGAGGAAATACAACATTTTGAAATCAAGTAATCCGTTTTATGAAAACCAAACATGCCGCTTCCTCTTCTGACCAAAGAGCGAATCATATCGGCACAGCTGTCATACCAGATAGTGCTGAGCGACCCCGGACATACCGGCTGTCCGTTGTATATCACGCAGAATGGAGATTGGAGACCGCTAGTCCCCGACGTCAAAACGACTGGACATGTGTCGCAGTGCCTCATAACACGACCATAAATCTGCCGCCTTCTGTTGACTCTACCTGTCAGACTTACGGACCTGGTGTCATTGCTTTCGCTATCAACTGTGCGTCAATAGCTTGATTTGGGGCTCGAATAGAGGGAGCGGAGGATGGCCAGCACGAGGAGGGAGGGAGGAGCAGAGGGGTGGGAGGAGACCCGAGTCGTGGCGCGGTTGACGACCCGGGTCCAGGGGGAGGGGACCGGGCTTCGGCCGAGGCGAGAAAGACACGCACAGTACACAGGCCGCAAAACAGGTCGGGCAGTCCAAGGCGCGCGCTCAGAGGCGGCGGACAGTGCGGAAGTGTGGAAACGAAGCGACTGGCTGTGGAAAACGATCCCCTCCCACCCTCCCCAATAACAACTTTCAATCCAAAAATACCGTCCTATAGACACACTCGTCGTCGGCCTAAGTCTTGTTATCGATCATGATATGAACGATAACGCGATTTGGGTGCAGACGGCCATCAACAGCCAATACTGGACAACAGATCTGGGGAGCGTACGGTATGAGACACCCTATTCAGTAATAGGGCCCGCCTATTGCTGTTTTTAGGTCGAATCACGAGTATAGTCCGCCTGTCGCAATGTTCACTACATAGCACTGAGTACAGATGGTGTCAAAGCCGGTCCTGACTTAGTCGCCGGCGTTTTGGCGAATTCACCTCGGGTAAACAGCCGCGGGCGCGCAGCGGGCTCAACAAACAGACCGGGTCGCGGCCCGACTGCAGCACAAATACACACGGGCGCGGCTCGCCGGCGGCGACGATAAAGACGGGAGCGCGTTTATTTACCGCGCGACGCGCTATCGACGCCGGCACTGATTGGTCATCCGGCCGGCCACGTCACAGCGCAACGCCCGCCATGTTGATTCGCGGCCCAGACGGCTGTTTTGGCAGCGGACCGCCACGCACGCCGTCCTAATTAGACACGGTGATTTCAGACGGGGCGCCGATAAATCAGCTGCGACTGGCCAGTGGTTAGCGCCACGGCCGTGCACCTGATGGCCTGTCGTTCCGGTGATGGGTTAGTCATGCACCGGCCATGGAGGGCCGCCACGTTCTGTGGCCCACTGCAAAGGCGAGCACCGACAAATAGGGCACGTCGTTATGCTTTGCTGCAATGGCGTGCAATTTCTCCTAATTGGTCACAGGGTGAAAACACGAGCTGGTTTAATTTTGTTGCCGAGCCTGGCACTGCAAACATTGACGAGTGATTGGAGAAAGTGAACTATAAACGATATAATCGGTGAACGTGGACCGCCATCGACGTTCGCGGCTATATTTGCAGCGGGGCGCGGCTGTACTCACTGATGTCGAACTGGTGTGACGTCACTGCACAGAAGACGATGACCAGCAGTGGACTGTGCAGCAGGCGGGCCATCATCCGCTTCACATGTCCACCCAGCGACCAGCTGTGGGGAAGAGGAGAGAGAGGGTCAATACAAGCATTGACCATTAGAAAGCGAAGCGCCAGTCACACGAGTGGCGGCTAATATGAGTAATTAACCCTCGCCGGACCTATTGGTTTTCTACATACGCGCCGGCCGAGGGGGGAGGGCGGGTACGACCCCCCCCCCCCTCGCCGTTTCGCCTCTGGTGGAGCTAGCGCGTCGCGGAAAAAACGAGCGTGTGCGCCGTTACGAGACGCAGAGATTGGTACCCGATTTTAAGGTCCTAGGTTAACCGGTAACCTCTGAGGTCAGGTCAAGTGCCCCAGGGTACGGTTCAGTTTTTGGTGAATAACTTCGCAAAAAAAGGCCGCAGAGCCGCGATTTTGGCAGCATCGTGTTCGCCTCGCTCAGGCGCGTCGAATGATATACTTTTTGTTCGGGTCAGGTCAACTTAGGGTGTTGACCTCAGGTCAAGGTCCGATCAGCACCCCCAGGTCACGAAGTTGGTCGAAAGAGGTCATGTTGCATATCATTCGATTCGGCAGGTCTTCCTGAGTCCATTGGTGGCTTTCTCGACTGGCTAGCTCATTTTGATCGGGAGTTATTGACGAAAAACGAATATGACCTTGATGACGTCATAAATGACGTCACAGAAGGTCAACATTGCAAAAGTGATGCATCTTACCTTGCAAGGAGTGCATCAAATCACGATTCTGTGTGCTTGAGATAGTTGGAGATCGTTCCCGGCGCCAGAATAGCAGTTTTCATTTTTCCCCATTGACTTATAATGGTGAGGTCACGAAAATGACCTGACCTCATATGACCTTTAGGAAAAATCCGAGATATACAAGTTGTGAGACTCATAATGGATACTAGATCCTGCAAGTTTCATTTCCCTGTGACATCTCCTCTGGCAGTGAGGGCGTTGCGAAGTTGCGACATCTGAAGACCGTGCAGAGGTTCACTTATGACGTCATAGGTCAGTGACCTGACCTGACCCAAAAATGCGGTTGGTTTCAAAAGATGCGGCTTGGATCAAAGGTTAGGTATGCCAAGTTTCAGCTCTCTATCGCCAGCGTGTTCGGAGCTATCGCGAAAAAACCCTATGGGGGGGCGGCACCCGTCCCCCCCCCCCTCGGCCGGCGAGGGTTAACAATGCTCATTGACTATCAGTCGCGGGCGAGAAAAAAGGGGTCTTCGCACAGAGACAGGGATATTTGGATGTGATTTGAGACGGCCAGCCTCGAACAGAGTCTGGACGAGAAAAACAAAAGACAGTTCGTCGAGCTAAAGGAACGAAATGAACAAAGTGAAAGGTAATTATCGTCAACAGTGCTGAAGACAGATGACGTACAAATTTCAATAAAATGTAGGAGTTGGTGGAGAAAAGAAAATGAGAGGCAGAGCCTTCACAAAATGAGTCAGGACAACCACCCGGAAGACAAATAAAAGGCAAAGGCAAAACAACAGATATCATAGGATGGGATATGGACAACCAATGTAAGGACGACACTCGGCTGCAAGCACTGACACGACGAGAGACATAACACAGACGTTTGTCTTCATCAGCCGCCGCACCAGCCGCAATGTCCGGCCTTCCATCAAACCCTTATCACAACGGCACAGGCTAAGCTTAATGATCACCACCTCACAAATCACAATCAGCCAGACGGATTGAAACTAAGCACCTCAGCCGATGTATGTAACTCGCGCCTTCCGTGGTCACTGACGCCCACGAGAGCTTTCATGCACTTCTGTCATGCAACATCTCGCCGGGTCTCGCAATCCAGCCGCCCGCTGTTCGTCCATTCATCGAAGCTCAAATCGTGACTCAGTCGATGGCCTCGGACGAATTGTGTTCGTGGTACGTGCAGGAATGTGGAAAAGTGTCAGCCGACCGGCCTGCAGCCTCGTGCTGTGTCCCCAGGCCGCTATTTACAGCCAAGGCCAAATACATTTTGCAACACAAGGATTCAGCATCACGCCTTGTAACCATGCGGCAAGATAACTAATGCCGCCTCCATTCAGTCTGAAGTCACCAACTCGGCGGGAGCCCATCAGCGATCGGCGCCCCAGAAATAGCCGAGCCAGTTCACCGGTTTACTCGCGCTCGGTCGGTAAACACAGCACGGGCGGCACCAGTGCGGCGCCGTGGTGCTCGGGAAGTGGACATCCGGGGCGCCGCGTGTCCCCAGCACCTTACAGCGGCACCCCGGCGGCTTCCCACACACGCGCCTCCCAGCACGGCCGCCGTGCGCTCTACAACCGGCACGCCCCCGCGCCAGGCGCACAACACGCGCCGCGCGCCGACGGCGAAGGAATGAGGCGCGATGATGTGCTTAATGAAGTGATCGTTTCCGCCAGCTTCCTCGGCGCAGCAGGAATCTGCTCTGGTCGCGCACTGGCGCCCAAAGACAGGGCGAAGTGACGATGAGGTGATGTTTACCCATTATTACCAAAAGTCCTTCGATTGCTGAGAGGCTACGCGAGGGCATTAGACACCACCAAGGTTTCCGGCTTAGAGGCCTAAAACTCATTGTCTTGCTTAAAGACATCCCACTGATATGATTTCGAAATACGGCATTAAGCCTGGCAACTCCGAAAAGCAAATAAAAATGAATACATAAATAAAATGTGAGATACGTCTCCTACGCACATTGCGTTGTGATTCCGCTGTGTGCCCATCCGTTCCACATCGGCAGTGCTATTCGCGTCTCTTCAAAATCCCATTTACCAAGGCATCATAGGATTGCATCGCATCTGGTCTGGCAACTTCTTGTATGCGACACAGCAATAACACAATGCTGGTACCGTTAGGAACAGGGCCGCGGATACAACTGCGAGGAAGAGTCACGGCTCCAATCGACCAAACGGCCGATGATTTCAGGAAGATATCGTGTCTGGTGGCCGTCCTGCACTCAAAACTTTTTTACTTCCTCCTGGAGGGTTCATTTTCATCAAACCAGCAAGATACGAGTATATTGAAAGGGTAACTCTTTGCTACCATTATGTGCATAGTAACGGTACGTGGTTAATGTGACCTTATTCGCCAGCGAAGAGTATTATTACCATGTAAATATCAATATTACTCTCGCGATCCAGAACATCACGAAAACTCTTTCCTTCTGGGTATCGTGACTCGTGTACAGATAGTCGTTTCATGCGTGGATCTTGTTTACCCTCGTGAAGATGATATTTGAAATGGAATCACTCAGCCAATCAGAAACGAGATCGGCCGTTTGCGGTTTGAAGGCCGCGCGCATCTGTCAGTTTTCGGCCGTTGGTCTCCGAGAGAGGATGTGAGCAGTGTCGGTGCCGAGCGGCGTGGCCGTTGGTGATTGTGCTTGCGTGTTGTTCATCGCCTATAGAGCCTCTGTGGACATTTTATTGTAAGTACCGATGTGCTAGAGCATTGCATGCCGTTGAGTGGTGCTAATTTGACCTGGTTAACAGGACCCCGTGCACGGCCACGTGGCCTAGGTTGTGAGTACGTACATTAATTTTGTTGTGATGCTACAAGTTTATGCATTTTGTTGGTGACTTTGAAAAAGCCTTGCACTGTAGTGATCCAGTCTCATTATCTCACGCAGACGGGCGACCACCCAGGAACGCCGTCGCTCTCTTCAAATATTGTGCGCTGTGCCTTATCCAATATGAGGGCGCTGAATGTCTTGTATTCACATTCAAAGTGCATTCAAGTTGTATCGTGGTGTTTATCTACCGCTTGTGCATTGCTGAACGCTTCGTATAAATTCGTATGCATAAGTGAAGAGTCTCACAATGTTCATGGCTGGTGTGCCCCTCGTATTGTTTGTACGGAAGCCAAATATACATTGTTGCTCTGAAGCAAGCGTCTGTGAGTCTGTTACCATCCTCTGGGGGGTTTACACTAAAGGAAAGAGTAAACATTACCATGTGACAAAGGGTGGCCAGAAGAATATACTCTCTGTAGGAGGGTAAAGCACAGAGCAGATGATGCGTTACTCCCTAGAAAAGGGTTCCGTTTAAGATTTACCCTTTCAAAGAGTGTAACCCAAAAAATGTTACACTCTAGACAAGAGTAAATCAAAAGAGTTTACCATTCAGAAGATGGTAAAAAACGTCTGTGTGTCATGTTACCCCTCCCTGGCGAGTTCACTCTTCATGAAAGAGTAAAATTGACCATCTGGAAGGTGGTAAAAAACGTCTGTGTGTCAAGCTACCATGCTATGGCGGGCTTACCCTTCAGGAAATGGTAAAAAAGTTTTCAGTGTGTGACGTTGTTAGGGCGTCTGCTGACGACTCCGGGCCAATGCCTGGGTGTTTGCGCCCGTGGCAAAGCGATTCATCCCGGATTCGGGCCGCTCGGGGGATCGCTTTCACCCCACCGTTGACAGACACGTTTCTGACAGGGGCGGAAGGCATGAATGCATCGGCGACGAAGTCTGACAATAGATCGGTCTGTTTTTCAGTGCCCGTCCAGCGACTCGGATAAACATTGCTGACAGTCTGATGTGCGGCAGCCGGCGGGGCTGGGGAGGACATGTAATTCAGATCCTCGTCAAGGGACGCCCCGAACGGCCTCAGTGCCTGACACCAGACGGCTGGTCGCCACGCCGAGGCTCAGTCTTCGACCTCTTCACCCCGTATTTACTGCGTCCACCCTCCTGCGCCATGTTATCTCTGGCTGAAATGGAGAACGGAGGGAGATCGCTCGCAGGGTGAGCAGGTCACTAAGAAAGGCGGCAGTCCCCATCTCACCTCTGACCCGCTAGTTTGTTCTTGGTTGACCCGAGCCTGAGTCCTGACTTCCATGGGCACCAGCCAGGAGGGTGGAAGGCTAGGACGCCGGACTCCCATCTGCCCACTATGGTGTGGGGCCGTGACCTTTTGACCTGGTCCCTGTCCTTCACACGCGCGACACGGTCTCTGACTGGGACCGGCGAGGGGCCGAGCGCGCAGGAAGGGTGAAAGGGGAGCGCCGGCCGCCCGCGGCGCCGGCAGCGGGTGCAGATGGCTGTCGGACCACGCGTGGCATCCGG